AGTTGGAGCAGATGTGGAAGGTAAAGTTGAAAGTGGTCCCAGTGATAATGGGAGCATTAGGAGCTGTAACAGAGTTGCAGCAGATTCCAGGAACAACATCTCGACATCAGAGCTCCATGTGGAAGAGTGCAGTCTTGGGGTGTGAAGGAGATTTTGCATATATATGTGTGAGCTGATGACTCACGTGGAAGAGGAAGTAGTTTTCAGCAAGATCAATGGCTGACAGCGGAACAGAAACCAGAAAAACGAAAGTGAAAATGTGGGAAATAACACATCATAGAAAGTCATTAACAGCATCACGATGGCAGTAGTGGCTCACAACCTTTTCTTCATAAAGTTAAAGAGATACTGATACTTTACAGATATGTATTTACCCTTGGTAATACTCTGCAAGTTACTTTTTTATTCATTGTGTTTGACACTGTGTTCATAGTTTGAAGATCGTTAACAATACTTGTCACTGATCATGAATAAAAGCCTCTGTTTAACTTGTATGTAAATCTGTGTCAAAAGACAGTTGTGCAGAATGACTATTACCCATTTTATGACTTTTTATAGCTGTGAATGTTTGACGAGTATGACCCAGATTTAGGTCAGCTGATAAGTCAAAGTCAAACAAAACATCGTAATTTATGGTTAGAATAAATAAACAGAGCTGATGGCTTTGTAAATCAGTCATAATTTATAAAGAGATGCGACACCGTTAAACTCTGGGTTATCTTGACACACTCAGACTTGCACCATGTTCCCCTCTGGCAGTGAAATATAATTTATTATTGATCAAAACCAGTGAGCGTGTAAATATTTGATCAGAGCTGATGCATGAACACTTCAGCGGTTACTGTCACCTCTCACCTATATTTTCTTGTCAAATGAAGACCTGCAGCTGAGCAGCTGAGTCACACATGCATGGGTCAACCAGAGCATTTATTGGCCTGTGGGAAGTTAATCAATTATGGCTTTTGAGAATCACAGACAGGATCTGAGACTTGTTCTGCACTCATTCATTGTTCTCCTCCCACTGCTTTCACCTGCATTTCAGATAACTCTCCTTTGGAAATGACCAACATAAAGTCCAAATCACAGAGCCAGAGCGATGAGGCCGAGGGCCCGGATGGAGGCTGGGGCTGGGTGCTGGTTGTCGCCATGTTTGTCAGCTCGAGCCTCGTGTTCGGCCTGATGCGGAGCCTGGGCATCTTCTTTGTGGAGTTCGTTCAGTACTTCGAGGAGAGCGCCCAGGCCATCTCCTGGATCTCGTCCACCGGCCTGGCAGCGCAGCAGTTCTTCAGTGAGTCATTGATGTTTGTGAATGTGTTAGTGTGCAGTTTGTAGTATTACAGGTGACAACTGTACAGTAATTATGTCTTTTTTAATGCATTAACACACTTATGGTGAGACTAAAGGGTAAATACAGACTACTACAGGATGCATATGTGACCCTGTTTGGATTAAGGTCTTTCAACCTTAAATCTTCTAAAGGGGGGAAAAGGTTGATTTAGTTATAAATAAATGATGTAAATGTGTTTGCTTGTTCTGCAGGTCCACTGGCCGCTGCACTTTGTAATGCTTACAATCCCAGAGTGGTGGTGATGACGGGAGGCTTTTTGGCTGGCCTCGGCCTCACACTTGCCTCGCAGTCCACCTGTCTCGTACACCTCTACCTCACGATGGGAGTAATTTCAGGTAACGTGTGTTAGTCTTAAACCACCAGTTTTAGCAGGCTTTAGCTCCTGTTTTTTTTGGCACATCCAGTGAAAAGCATTGGTACACAGATGTAGCACTTTCAACTGGGATTTATTCTTTAATTTACAGTTAGGGTTAGCTGGGTGTTACAATGTTACGGTAAAAATGTTAAAAAATACTTAATTCAGAGCCAGCAGGTATAATTAAACTCACTTTTTAAAGAAAGATGACTTCTGCACATCGTGCAGAAACAAGATTCGATTCCGCTCAGTTCTACTTTATTTATACAGCACCAAGTCACAACAACAGCTTTCCCAAGGTGCTTTATTTTGAATGTAAAGACCCTACAACAATACAGAGAAAACCCCAACAATCAGATGATCCCCTATGAGCAAGCACTTGGCGACAGTAGGAAGGAAAAAACCCTTTAAAAAGGAAGAAACCTCCCACAGAACGAGGCTCAAGGAGGGACACCCATCTGCTTTGCTTGGCTGGGGGTGAGGGGAGGGAGGCGGAACAAAACCATGCTGTGGAAGAGAGCCAGAGATTAATAATGATTCACAAAAAGACAAAATACAAGTCAGAATGACTCAGACACAGGTAAATGTTCAAAATGAACACGCTGCACTGCTGAACTCATTTCAAGCCGTGTGACAAAAAGCACAAAACTGCATCTGAGACGTGACATCACAGACGAGCAGCAGGTGTATTTCAGGCGTGAGTCACTCACACAGGTGCAACTACACTCTTGTTACGCTGCAGAGTGTAGTTGTTTTCAGTTATTGCTGCTTCTATGAATGCCATGAGCTAACTGCCCCCCTCACTACACCGTCACCAACAGATCTGCTTTAAGTTTGGTGCTTCAAGATATTTTGTACACACACCGTGTGCTGCATACATCAGTGGTATTTTTTTGTACTATTTACCTTGTGCACTTTGTTCTTCTACTTGTGTTGTGGTGTTCACGCTCATTTGATATGATAGTGCATCCACCCAGTTTCCCGTACTCATCATAGGAAGAGCGCAAAAAATTGATTTTTGTTTTCCAAGTCAGTTGATGCGTCAGAGAAACATTTTTATTTCACATTTACAATATTTTAAGTTGTGTCTCCCATCTGTGGAGCCTGAGGTTGTCTTACAGCTTTGTAACATTTACTGACCGAAAGTAGGATTTTTTATTTTTTTTTAAAAAGAGGGTTTTAACAGTTAACCGATTAACTCGTAAAGTAGTGAACTGCTCGCTTGCCTCTCACGGTGTACTTTGCTCGCTTTGTGCTCCAGGTTTTGGATGGGGGATGGTCTTCACTCCCATGGTGGCCACAGTCATGGCTAATTTCACTCGCCGGCGTGCCCTGGCTCTGGGACTGGGGTTCTCCAGCATCGGCCTCTCCTCCTTCGCTTTCAACCTGCTCTTTCAGCTGCTGGTGGAGACGTACGCCTGGCGAGGGGCCCTGCTGATCCTGGGGGCTCTCAGCCTCAACATTGTACCCTGCGGGGCGCTGATCCGTCCGCAGCGGCGCTCTAAAGCACCAGCAAAGGTAGAACAGAAGGAGGAGCAAGGCAGTGGTCTGGTTTAAGTAAAAACGTCTCTCTCAGAGAGGAATATCATAATGTTCTCTGTGATAACCATCAGGACAGAAGAGTAAAGTTTCTTGCTCACTGACTTTGGAGTGATATGTAAAGATAAAGCTCAGACTTTCCTTGTTTCCTCTCCTGCAGGTGGATTCAGAGACAAAGTCATGTGCATCCATGCTGCGGCGCATCGCCTCTTACCTGGAGCTGTCCCTGCTGACCGAGAGGCCCTATCTCACCTACACTTTGGGCGTTACTCTGTTTAACGTCGGCTACTTCGTGCCTTACTTCCACCTGGTGGCCCACAGTCGCCAAGTTGGCTTCTCAGAGTACCAGGCTGCCTTCGTTATGTCAGCTGCAGGTGCTTCGGACATTTTGGGGCGCGTAGTGTCGGGCTGGTTCTCCGACCTGGGCCACTTTCGGGTTGTTCATTTACTGACCTTGTGGACAGGCCTAGCAGGAGTGTTTATCATGCTGCTGCCAGTGAGCTCCATGTCTGGCTCCTACGCCGCTCTGATGGTGATCAGCCTGCTTTATGGCTTCTGCTCTGGGGCTTTGACCTCCGTGGTTTTTGCGGTGGTGCCCATGATTGTGGGCGTGGAGCGCACGATGGGGGCACTCGGACTGCTGCAGCTCATCGAGAGTGGTGCTGGACTTCTGGGGACTCCTTTGTCAGGTAAGTGTGCGTTAAAGCTGCTGAGATAAAGCCAGCTTATAACAAAAACGACTCCATTGTGGCTTTAGTTTGAAAAGAATCTTTCTAAAGTGACCTAAATCAGCCCAAACATACAACACACTGAATGTGTTGCTGTCATAAGCTTGGATAACTGCTCTTATAAAAGGCAGACAACTTGTCTGCACACCTGCTATTTTTAGATCACTTTGTGGCATTTTATTGTTAACCTCAAACCTGTGCAGAGAGCAAAAATCAAGTTTTGTGAAGCCGATCCGACTTTCACTTTTAAAAATCATCACTGGACGTGCGAGCTGCGTCACCTCAGCTTTTGGTTGGTGTCACCAGAATCATTCTTTCTCCACATTCAACCCAAAGCAGAAAGCTTTGACGATGAAAAATGAGCTGTCAGAGCACGCAGTTCCTCAGGTGGCCACATGAGGCATTCTGCAAAAGGGAATCAGTCCAATACAGACTCCTGGGTGTAGCTGCTTTGATTGACTGGTGTTTCAGACGGCTGTAGCCAATAGGCGAGTCTGCTCAGCCTCACCTCTGGGTCACTAAACTGCACCTCTTTGTGCTGGTGGTGCCTTTTGGAGTATATTACTGCAGTTATCTGACTAATATCAGAGCTTGCAGTATATTAAATAACACCCACGAAGTTGGTGGCACATTGAGTGAAATTCTGGCATTTTATCAGTGTGTTATCTAGCACTACAAGCAGATATGTGCCCACGTGTTGCACTCGTACAATTTATGGATGCAGCTTGTGTAACCGAGCCAGCTAGCATTAGCTAGTAGCTGATTGGCGTGTTTCTGTTTTATGTTAATTTCAAAGCATGTAAAAAAGAGTTTAACACAAAAATAAACCCTTTTACAGATCAAATGTCTGATCTTAGGTTTCCTGCCACATTTTTTTCCGCTCTAACTGTCTGCACTGTTAGAGGTCACTGGATCCAAGGTAGAAAAATGAATGAGCTGTTCAGAAGCTCTTATTTTACCCTACAAGGCTTCTTTTTTACTAGTATTCAATGATTAAACGTGCGATTTTGCAGAGCTTCATCAGGGCTTCATCTTTTTTAAACACTGCAGTGTTTTCCTTCATCGACTTGAGGCCGATATTGTGCACTTCAGTTTATCCCTCAGTCTTTCATCATCTCATTCTCAGTTTTACGGTTTCTTACACTTCAAGTAACATCCATGTTTTATTTCAGGATTCCTGAAGGACGTCACAGGAAACTACATCGCCTCCTTCATGGTGGCCGGCTCCTTCCTCCTCCTCGGTATGCTGACCATGACCACCCTGCCTCGCTTTTTCTCCTGTACTGATCCACGGCCTCCTCAAAGACGTTCCCTCGATGCCAAAGAGAACATTTTGGATTTAGAGCTGGAGCAGATGAATAGTTCGCCCTCTGACAAAAAACACACAGTGGAGTCGAATGATCCAGCAAACCCAAAACTCTGTTAGTAGATAGAGCCTTGCACATTCTGAGCACACAATCAAAATGCATCCTGTTGCACACCTCCGTGAGCAACGATGTATTCATGTCATACCTCAGAGACTCAGTGAAAGCTGAAGCTTCCTGTGAAACTCGTAGCAGCTGTAAGGGAGCGGCGAGCTCCTCGCTCTGTTACAAATACGAACCTCAGTTTAACGCTGGAGCTAGAACCTTCTGCCTTAAAGGAAACTGGACATTTTTTAAATCATTCACGTGACTGTTTTTGACATGTGACATGCAAAGTGAGGTGCTGTTTTTTTTTTTTAATTAATCAATTTTAATTATTATTTTTTGTTCATGTGAACATGAAACCTGAGTCTGATTTTTCTGCCGAAGACTGGCCAGGATCTTTTATATTTGCACACACATTCTTTGAATGTGGCACAGCTCGAAAATTAAGCAAATGCTTGATCATCACAGCTCAGTTGAGTAACAACTCAGTTAAACTTCAGGGACGTCGGTCCGTGCTGTCAAGAAGCATCCATGAGTCCCTTTCACCTTCTTCAATACAAATGAAATCATGCTCAAGTCAGGAGGGAGCGAGCAGTGGTCCTTTTTTTTTTTTTAAATGGGGTTGTTTCCTCTGCAGAGCATATGTCGTCACTTTGGTTTACATTAGAGCAGGTGAAATGATTCAGTGGTTTCTCCTTCCTCTTCCAAATGGATACACCTGAACTTTACCTGAATTTGTGTTATACACCGATGGTCGAGTGCTCTCCTCATTTATTTCTAGATACCCTCCATAAAGTGAGTCTCTTTTTTAAATTTTGCGCCATCATTGCATACACTTTTACTAGCTTGGCATGACAGGACTAATGTGTGAAACATTAGCTCTCTGACCTGATCTGCACGTGACAATGTTTTAATTCGGAGAAACCCAGTAAATTGAGCTTAACACCAGTGGCACACTGGTTTTGGTCGAGTTACTGACAGGTCCTGTGAAAGCTTTTTCAAGGTTATTATAGTTAATTAATACTAAACCTATGCATGGCAAAAACTTGCATCACTTCAGTCTGAGAAGCAGCCTCCACATTAAGGCTGGAGTCTAAAAATTATTCTGAAACTGATTTAAAAAAAAACTAAAATAACATTGTTAAACGAGAAATTAAACAAAATAAATTTCAGTTCGTTGAATAGGATATGAAAGAATCAGGTAAAACTAATGGAAAGTAAAACGCTACAATACATGTGTTTTTTTGGACTTTTTATATTCTTAACCCTGTCATGCCAAATGTATCACACATGAGCTGATGTATGAGTTTGTAACACTTCTATATCGTTGTCATCATCATTAAGCTTAATTAAATTGCACAGTAGATTTTTAACCTATAAGATGCAAAAAATGCCAAATGTAGCAACTATAGTACAAATTTTGTATTTAATTAATTAAAGCGTTTTGTAAGGTTCAATAAGCTCTCGATTTTCAAAAAAAAAAAAAGAATTTTCTAGCAATCACTTTGTGGTTTAAGCTTTAAAGGGTTACATTTAAAGTTCTTCAGACATACAATATCTCACAATCATATGTGAGCCTCTGCTGGCTCAAAGATGAGGTAAACCACAGTGCCAGCTGGTCTGGGTAAAAGAATTTGTATTTTAGATGCTGACTGGATTATGATGCTTCAAATTTAAAGGCATGTTAAACACACATACACGCTCCAAAATTAGGAGAACAAATTCAACGACTGCAGTGGCTGTTTTTCAGGTCGACGCTGATGATGATGATTTACTGCTGCCTGCAAATGCCTGATTTATGGTTGTAATCTGTTGAAGCGAATGTTTGGATATAAAAACCGCAGCATGTCCTGTCCTGTTAACACCGATTTATTATGAGCTCGGCTAAATGAGCTGCTGGTGTCGACTCTGAACCTCAGGAATTCCTCTTCCCACCGCTGCGTTTTGTTGCACAGCAGGAACACAAGACTGTGTTTTCTCAGTTGCGTTTTCCTGATGACGCCGTCACCTTTTTTCCTCGAGCACTTTGTACTTTCGCTGACCGTAAACTAGAGCAGGCTTTGTAAACCAGACGTGTTTGGTTTGGAGAGCAGCCGGATGGTTGCCATGTTTGAAAGAAGAGCATGACTGGATCACTGTGACCTGCTGATCATTAGCACACTCGCTTACTTTAAAGGTGTTGCAATGCAAAAAGCAGGTGGTCTGTGCTGAACAGCTTCTTAGTGTGTTCTTCCTCAACAGTCTGTGACTCTGGCGTAAATTTACCTTGTCAGTTGCCTGCAAACTGTCAGTGATTGTCTCCTTTATTATTATTTTTAAAGAAAACATGTATTTTCTTTCAGTTTATTTCAGTCTTTTCCTTATCAGACAGATCTTCACAGAGATTGTTTTCATCTAAAACGACTGCAGGATGATGCCGCCCTCTGCTGGGCTTTTGACAGAGATACAAACCATATTCATCTTCTTTAACCTCCTAAGACCCGTACTCGGCATGCATTTTTAATTTCTCTTTGATATTTGGGCTGATTGGGATCTGATGAATGTAAAAACAAAGATTTTTTTTAACCTAATCTTTGTTTCTAAGAAAAATGAGAGCCACATATGAGGATATTTGTTTAAAAGTTTGATAGAACAGTAGCAGTATAATGTCCTTGTAAGTGGATATCAGGCCCTTGTAGAGCAAAATTGAGTATTTTGGTCTAAATAACCCAAAATGTGATGTCCACATATGTTCCCTTTAACCTTAGGTTAAAGGGAACCTCTTACGCTTTTCTTTATTTTCTCTCATATACTGTCACAATGTTGTGTGCTTATATTAAAGATGGCTGCGTACTCGCTGCTAGTGCTGGGTCTGACTCCATTTTTCTCTCATTTATTCTTCTGTCCCATCACATCCTAAAGGTCCTGTACTGCAGCGGTCCCCAACCCCCGGGCCTCGGACCGGTACCGGTCCGTGAGTCGTTTGGTACCGGGCCGCGAGAGTTGAGGCTCAGGTGTGAAATGTCGGTTTTCAGCGTTATTTTGTTATCGTTTTGATCGTTAACGCGGTTTTCCTGGGTCTTTTCACGTGTGTTATAAATAAATCTTCTTTTGTTCGGTACCGGTACTAGTTTTATTTTGTTGTATTTATCCGCGACACATTAAAAATATTGTCGGGCATAAACCGGTCCGTGGCGCAAAAAAGGTTGGGGACCGCTGCTGTACTGGATTGAGATCAGGTGAGTGTGGAGGATATTTGAGTAAATGATGATCTGCTTGTACAAAGAGGCCCAAGAAAATATCCCCCACATTATTACACCACCGGCTTGACCATTTTTTTGTGGATAGATCCATGCTTTCATGCTGCTTACACCACATTCTGACCCTGCCATCTGAACAATCTGGAATCAACTGAAACAGAGTCATCAGTGCAGACAACAGTTTCCAGTCTTTTATTGTCCAGTTTTAGTGAGTCTGTGACGATAGCCTCAGCTTCCTGTTCTTACTTGACACGAGTGATATTTGATGTGGCCTTCTGCTGCCTCTGCTTCAATTTTGGAAATGGTTTTCTGCATACTTTGGTTTTAACGCGTTTATTTGAGCGACTGTTGCATTTCTATCAGCTTAAACCAGTCTGGCCATTCTCTTCTGACCTCAAATATCAGCAAGACGTTTTCCACCAGAGAACTGCTGCTCACTGGATATTTCATCATTTTTTCCAGTGAGATGCTGCCATGTGATTGGCTGAATATTTGTGCTAATAAGCAGTTGATCAGCTATACCTACTTAAGTGGCTGGTTACTGTCTATACACACTTAAGACTGCTCTATACACTCTGTTGCAGGCATGTTTTTTTCTACTCTTGGTTTAATACAATGTCACAGAAAGCAGAGATACCCAATACTGATGCTCTTAAGCACAGCAGCTCCATCTGTGAGCACCACCAGTGGAGCTACATGCTCTTCTGTTTGCCAATCAGAAGAAAGCTGGATGAAACAAAGGTGGAGATAATATGGCTCGTTTCAGAGAAAGTGAGACCCAAGAGTCAGGACAAAATTAGTAAGGATAATTAATGACTTTTGGAAAGTTGTGCAAAGCTTTAAAATAAGAACTTATTACTGCTTCAGTTCAAAAAGTTAAAACTGAAACACGAGTTTGAATTTTTCTTTTATTTGATCTGAATACAAACTGAATGTACCTCACATAATTTAGACAAAACATGAACACAAAGTCCCAAATTTAAAAATCTGCAAATACTCCAGTTCATCGCAAGACGGTAGAAATAAAATGCAACTTTTTACAACAATTTCCTACAAACTTTTTTTTGTTTTTGTTTCATGTAAGGAGTCAGTAGAAATCGCAAAACCTAAAACAACAGCCTCTTTTCGCTTACAAAAAGAAGGGGAAAAAAAAGAAATAAACAGATTTACTGGTTTTAATAAGAAAACTTTTGGCAGAGTAACGGTGCTACCCTCTGCTACAGACACCTCACGCTGGTCTCATAAAGCTGTTGCAGTGTTTCCACTTGGACACGATTGTTCTGCTCTGACGTGCTCGCACAAAGAATTCACTGTTCGGAGCGTTCGTTCCCTCTGAAGTCAACACCAGCTGAGCTGTGACCGAACACGTGGCAGGTAGCCAGCGAGAGAGAGAGAGAGCGAGTGCATCTGCATGCCTGAAAGATGAATCTTTTCTATATGAGCCTGAAAGTATGTGGTGCTGCACTGTGGAATGAGGAGGTGGAGAGGCAGCTGGTTAAGACTTCGGGTCAGCACTGCGGCGTTTGAGCTTCTCTGGGTTGTTCGAGGCCATGTGGGAAAAGTCTCTGAAAATGTCCTGGTAGGTTTCATCACCTGAAAAAGACCAGAGAAGACGTGAGCCTCAAAAGCTTTTGGGAATATTGAAAAGCTTAAAGAACCCACATTAGTGCCGCCCTTGCTTTCTGAAAGCACCCGTACTTTAATGTGCCGCAGCCATCGTTTCATCAAAAGCTACACCGTTAATTGCACACCAACTATTTCCTGGACACATTTAGAGCTGTAGCCCTAAAGCAAGACACATGCAACTGAACACAAACACACGTAATGGCATGCACATGCACTTTACCTCTTAGTTTGCTGTAGGTGGCGCACACTGCACAAGCAGTTGAGACCAGCCGGACGTCTCAGAGGGCAGAAGGCAAAGGCACACGAGTGCATACAACACAGACAACAACAACAGACAAAGCACAGCACGTCAAATACTGACCAGCAGTTCTTTCAAGCAGACAAACACAACTTGTTTTTCTTGTCTTTTTTCCTTCTCTCCCCATTCCCGCATGACTAAAAACCGGACACAGGAGACTAAAGTATAAAGTTATCAAGAAGCCCTTAAACGGACCCAGGAGACAACCACGAAGGAATGGTCTTTGCAGCTTGAAAAAGAGCCAAATGGCACATAAAAACGCAAACAAAACCCACTGTTAACCTCAAGCTCGAGGGGCTGCGGCAGAGCGCTCAGTTAAGCACAAAAGAGGTCAAATCCAACAGTGTCGAAGCTTAAACTGAGTCACCGTTCACAGAACAGCGGGAGAAAATTGTCCTTGAGAACCAAAACCCAACCCTGAATTTAGCTTACATAAACTGGAATAAGAAACACAGTCACAAATACACAAATCAGCACACTGTACAGACAGAAAATATCCTAAATACACTGAAAATTGGCCTGACCCAGGTCTACTCTATACACAGCTTCTTTAAGCTCGCTTAAAGAACGGTTTAGCATTGAAGACGCCCACATGTAGGTCTGTGTTGACATAGTGTTCGGATGCTTTGTGGGTTTCAAAGTGCAGCATGATGTGCATTTACAATTCAAAGTGCGTGTGACCACCTCATGAGAACAGCTTCCACCTGTCGTACCCTCTGTTCAAGTTGAAGTTGAAGCTTGTTTTTATTTCTTTTTCATCTATAAACTCATGCACGGTAAGGCTTGATTTTAAAAAAATATATTTTTTAGCCCAGTTTGTCATTTTGAATCCCCATAGCCCATCCACTTATATGGTTCTTTATAGCCTGGAGACTCTTTCTAGTATTGGCCAGCCCACCTCCAGTCCCGCCCACTCCACCCCCTGATCCCTGCCCCTCTGAATGACCTGGTTGGCCGAACGCTCCATCCATCTCCCGCATCTCCTTGTTCATTTTGGCAATCCGCAACCTGAAAGACAGAAGATCGATTAAGCGAACCCGCCGCTGCTAACGTGGCTCACGTGTTTTCTTTCGAGTCAAACACTTACAAAGTGACGATGTCTGCATTGGCGTTATCCACGGCGATAGTTATCGGGTCCTTCTGGTTCTTGTCTCGGGCGTTGTAGTCAGCCCCTCGCTTCAAAAACAGACAAACCAACCTGAGAAACGGAGAAGAGAGAGCACATGAGAGACTTTAGCCTGGAAATCTATACTATGTCCAAGCATTTCCAAGGACCCGAGCATTTAAGGAACTCAAGTGAAGGGACTGGAGTTTAAACTGACTTTCCCAACCAAAGTTTCTGGAGTTTAGTGTAGTTTCTCTTCTCGTTTTCTATCTCTACAGGTCCACTTTCATATCCAATCAACATTAAACTCACGTCACAGTAAAAACCACAGCGTCACAGTACTCTTCTCAGGAATATCTTACAGGAAATGGACAAATCTGCATGTATGTGTTTCCAAGCCCTAAGGCGTGTGCAAGAGAACCAATAAAAAAAATAGTTAAAACAATAAAAACAAACAGAATTATCAAACTCTTGATAATTCTTAAACAATCACTTTCCCTATTCCCCTTGTAGCCTCCCTTTATGCTGGCTTTTTTTCTGATTGGCTGCCCCTCTGAGAGATGATCGCATTGGGGATGTCCACTCATGATGTTTGGAGCAGTCTGAAGCCTGAACCTCAGGGATCACACAATAGCTTTCTAATGCACAGAGTCATTAGTTCATGCTTTTGATGGAAAGCACAACGGGGACTATTAGTTCATGGGTTTATTTCTGTATTAGATTCATGTGGGTTCAATTCTTGGAACTATGAGTTCTGAACAGTTGTGAAGAAGTGTTGTCATGAATGTATCTGAATCATGTTATTTTTTGAAATTCAATGTATTATTGGAAACAAATAAAAAGATACTTAAAGGTAAGGAAACAATGAATTATACTGTATTATGTATTATAAAGTGTTACCGAAAATGTTGCTGCAAAAAAAGGGGAAAGAAAAGCTACAGTTTTGAGACTATTTAATATCAATTATGTCCAACTAACTCGTCGCTCTTAAGAATAAACCTTTAGGTTTCATTGTGACTCATTTTCCACTTTACTCACCACCGGCAGGTATTGTTGGCATAATGAGTCACACTAGCCTTGTTATTAGGTTAAATATATCTTCAGTGTGTATATCGTCAAGTTTATACACAAAAATGGACATTCTGAATTTGACGTCTGTTAACGTCCCCTTTGTTGTAGACAGTTGTTTACATCCTGGTGCTTTTGACCCTTACTCTTGATTTATGGTCGCTCTTTTTGAGTAGGTGTCTGCCTACAGAGAGAAGTATTCAACCTACGCAAACTGTTTACTCTTCCAAAAACCCAACGGCACGCAGCTTTACTGTGAGTAGGTCAAATGCTGTTTGGTGGAGAAGCTGACTAGAAAAGGGAAGGATGCAACAGTGGAGTTCACGGGGAACACGAGAAGTGCGAATTAAGATGAAAGCTAAAAAATCCAGAGTAAAGGCACAGACGGTGGCCGCAGTGAGCACTTTTGATTGTTTTGATCGGTTTCACTTCAGCTTATTGTAAAACTTCGCTCCTCTTCTCGGATGGCTGACAGATCAACAACAGCACATGCAACAGCGGCCCGCAGACTGGCTGTAC